TTGGGGGAAAAAATAAACAGATAGATATTCTTAGATTTTATTTCTTTCTTCTGCAAAAGGCACAATGTTATGTGTATGTGTGTGTATATATATAGATATACGTATCTCATAGGGCATGTGTGCTCGCCGGAAAGACAGAGAGACAGAAAGCGAGAAATCACTTCCTGGGGGGATGGCCATGCTGCAATCCCTTCTCCTCCATTCTTCTCCCTTCTCCTCCCTTCTTCTCCCTTCTCCTCTCGGGATCTTTGGCACATATGCACACGCGCCCGGCATAGGTTTAAGCCACCGGGTCCTGGACTCGAACCGCTGTTGACTACATAGGAGTCCATCAACATAGCTATTATGCTAACTGCTGGTCCCAGCACAGTGTTATATTAAGTCATTGGGAAAGTCATGACATATTTTTCTATGTTTTTTTTTTTTTTTGTGAAGAAAATGTGTCATGACTTCCCTGATGACTCAGTGTATATTCTTTTGTTCTTGGCTTTTTAATTTTTCAATTGTTTACTAACATGTCTTGGAAACCCGCCCAATATCAACTTAGAGAAATCGTCCTCGTTCTTTTTCCCAGCTACACAGCACCCTACACTGTGTCGTTTCCTGTGTGACCGTCTTCCTGCACACAGGTGCGTGGTGTGCACCTGCTCCATGTTGGACAGGCCGTCGCACCTGGGCCTCCTGTGTGCCCCAGCCAGAGCATGGCGTCTCAGCCCCATGCACCCCACAGTAGGACCTGTGCTTTATTATTCTTTTTAAAGAACTATTTAATTTTATTCATCATTGTTATTATTATTATGATTAAATTTGACCAGAGAGATACAAAGAGAGAGAGGGAAAGTGAGAAAGTAAGCTACCGGGTCTGGGACTTGCACCATAGTTGGCCACGTGGGAGTCTAGTGCCCTAACCACCACACTACCCGCTAGCCCTAGGACCTGTTCTTCTTTTTTTTTTTTCCTGGTAATTATTATTATTTTGTTTTTGCTAAAGGGCATGTGCACTCATCGGAGAGACAGAGAGAGAAAGTGAGATGTCACCCCTGGCGAGGGGATGGCCACGCCGCAATCCCTTCTCCTCCATTCTCCTCTCGGGATCTTGGGCACGCACGCACACGCGCCCGGTGTGAGTTTAAGCCACCGGGTCCAGGATGCAAACTGCGGTCGACTACGTGGGAGTCCAGCGACATAGCCATTACGCTAACTGCTGGTCCCCCACCTGTGCTTTCTTAATGACTTGTCTGCTTACACTTTCTTGTTTGTTTTCTGTTGTACTTTTACTTGTTTTTGTTCTTGGCCTGTTTTATGACCTCATATACTAGGGATGTTCAGCCATTTGTAAATACTTTGTCTTAGGTTTTAGCTTTATTTCGGGGATTTGGGGCTGCAGTTGTATGTAAATGAATGTATCATTTATCTTTTGCACTGAATTTCAATCGCAGTCTTCTATACCCAGGTTCTCGAGGAGTGCACCCAGGTGTTTTGAATCGTTTTCTGGCTGTCTATGCTACATTTGATCCCAGATCCATTTGGAATTGACCTTGTGTCTGATGTGAGGTGCGAGTCTGGTTTTTACCTGTTTGCCAGGGTGTTCTAGCACCATTACTAAAAGGTTCCTCTTTGTCTGAGACCAACGGTTGGCATAATGGCTGTGTCCCTGGACTCCCATATAGTCGACCGTGGTTTGAGTCCCGGACCCTTAAACTCACGCTGGGTGTGTGTGCACCCAAGATCCCGAGAGGAGAATGGAGGAGAAGGGATTGCAGCGTGGCCATCCTCCCTGGCAGGGGTGATTTCTTACTTTCTTTCTCTCTGTCTCTCTCTCTAGCAAGTGCACGTGTCCTATAGCACAAACCTCTCAAAAAAAAAGGAAAAGAAAAGGTTCCTCTTTGTCTCTGTCCTTCCAGGCCTTTTGTCTTAACACTGGAGGCTTGGTCAGACACTTGCCCTAGTGACCCTTTGGGCATAAGGATACCCTCTCTTTTTGGTGCTCCACAGAATACGACTAGCAGTGACTCCTGCCACGTTTTTTTTCTTTTTTTAATTTTCCCAGCAGGCCCTCGTGCTCATTGAAGAGAGAAAAGAGGAGTGAGCAAGCATTCTCAACGGGGACGGTCATGTTGCCGTCCCTTGTCCGCCCTCTCTCCCTCCCGTTGGTTTGGGCATGCACGTACACAAACTGCTGGGTCCAAAACCCAAGCCACGCGGTTGGCCGGGAGAGACCAGTGCCTTCCCCGCCACGCCACGCTATGGCCCAGGGAGAGAACATCCCTTCCTTTTCCAGGGTTGGGGACATCCCTCTAAACTCAGGGCGTGTCCTGCGAGGAGAAGATGAGGAACGCAGGAAGAGTGGAAACCGCCTCTTTCTAATCCCCACTGTCTTTTTTCTTTCCTTTCTCCAAGGGGGAAAAGGAGAAAACTCAACAATGTGAAGATTTGTTAGAAGTAATGAGATAAATCAACTTCCTGTCATTTATTAAACACTAGTTTATGCAGAAGCCCACGTGTGACAAGCAGAAAAGCCTCACTGCGCACCACTGTCCAGCGGTTAGGGCAGAGCCAAGCCCGAGTCTTGTTCTGGGGTCACCGGCTCTGTGACCTTGGGGACTAGTGAGCTCTAGCCCGTCCAGAGTCCAGTCTCCCCAGGTGCGGAAGTGGTGTCTGCCGTGCACACTTCCCTCCAGTCGCGGTGGGTTGTGGGCCCGAGCGTGTGGACGTCCGTGGGTACATAAGCCTATTTCCTCTGAGCGGGAGGAGGGTTCGCCTGCTGTGACCACGCCCTGTGGACTCACTGCCCAGAGGGCGCCTGGTGGCTCTGGGATGGGATGTTCCCTTCTGTAAGAACTGGGGCTTGTGGATTTGAGTCGCTTCTTTAAACAAATACATGTTTTAGATACTATTTTTTGAGAACGTCCTTTTCTGTTTTTATTTATAGATCTTCCCTCTCACGTCTTGTTGTGCTTTTCATAAAATGCACAGGAAACAAAATCTGACACCACCTGCCTCTTCCCAGCTCTCTGAGGGCTCCTTCTGGCCGTACAAGGAGGTTGCTCATTTGCATTTTCCTGGCCGCCCTTTCCTTAAAGTCTCCCTGGTCTTTGGTCCATCGAGCTCCCATTGGCCTGCGCACATGCTTGTCTATTCATTCTCCTGCCTCGTTCCAGACAGGATCTGAGGCAGCTTACAGATCAAGAGAATAAAAATAATCAGGGGAGAACACTTGGCCGAGGTCAGACAACCAGAGTAAGGATGGACTTGCACCGCTGGGGCGGGCTTGGCTGGGCGCAGGTGCGAAGACTGCAGCACACTCCTCGCTGATCCTCCTGGGTCCCTGAGCCTCCTGGAGCCCTGAACCGCCCTGAGCCTTCCCCGAACCCTGAGCCTTCCCCGAACCCTGAGCCTTCCTGAGCTTCCCGCCGCCCTGAACCTTCCCTGGGCCCTGAGCTTCCTTGAACTCTGAGCCTCCCCAGGCCCTGAGCCTTCTTGAGCCCCGAACCTTCCCCGGGCCCTGAGCCTCCTTGAACCCTGAGCCTCCCCAGGCCCTTGAGCCTCCCTGGGCTCTGATCTTCCTGGAACCCTGAGCCTCCCCGGGCCCTGCGCCTCCCGGAGCTCTGAGCCTCCCCAGGCCCTGAGCCTCCCTGGGCCCTGAGCCTTCCTGAGCCCTGAACCTTTCCCGGGCCCTGAGCCTCCTTGAGCCCTGAGCCTCCCCGGGCCCTGAGCCTCCCGGAACCCTGAGCCTCCCTGGGCCCTGAGCCTCCTGGAGCTCTGAGCCTCTCCTGGCCCTGAGCTCCCGGGCCCTGAGCCTCCTTGAGCCCTGAGCCTCCCCGGGCCCTGAGCCTCCCGGAACCCTGAGCCTCCCCGGGCCCTGAGCCTCCTGGAGCTCTGAGCCTCTCCTGGAGCCAGCTCTCGGGAGCAGGGTTGGTGAGAGATGCTGACTGCAGGATAAACAAGTGGCTTAGGGGAAGCCCAGCTTTCCCTGCCACTGAGGCTTAGGGGAATATTTTCTTGAGTGTTCTAAGAAATCGAAGACTATCTCATCCTTTCTTTCCCTCCCGGAGTTCTCTGTGTATTGAGTAGGTGCTTGCATTCAGGAAGTGGAAGTTTTTTCCAGCCTCTTCCCCAAGCAGGGCTGATGATGAGGGAATCGGGGCTTCTGCTTATTGATGGGAGTTGTTGAGCACGAGAAGAAGGCATGCTAGGAGCGCCAGTGTTTATAAGTTCAGAAAATGCACCCGCAGGTCTCGCCCTCGAGGGTCAGGTGGTCCCTGCCCACGTTAAGAGCCTGTCGGGGAGAGAGTGCATTTGATATGCCAGTGTCCTCAAGACAGCTCAGCTGGCTATTGGGAATATGTCGCTGTTGTGTAATGCATGCCATGTTCTTTCTTTTTAAAATAATTTTTAATTTAATTAAATTAATTTATTATTATTCTGTGTGTGTGTGTGTGTGTGTGTGTGTATGAGGGACGCAGGGAGAGAAAGTAAGTCACCAGTTTTGGGCCTCGAACCGTGGTCGGCCGTGGGGAGTACAGTGCTTTAACCCTCACGTCACATGCTGACCCATCCATATTCCATATTCTTCTTCTTTTTTAAAACTCATTGTCATCATTTTTACTTTTTTTTTTGAAGTTGACCAGAGAGAGATAGAGAGACAGAAGGAAAGTGAGAGGGCAAGCTGCCAGGTCTGGGACTCGGTCCGTGGTCAGCCGTGTGCAGTCCATCACCCTAACCACCACGCCACCTGCTGGCCCCAGCCTCCTTATTCTTTAGTAAAGACATTTCAACAGGAAGGAAAGCTTATTCTGAGTTAATGAACATTTAATGCAATGCTTGGGTGGTAGGACTACTACAGGGAGTATCTAAGCCGTGAAGACTTCGAACATGGTTTCATTATTTAAACTTCACTAGGGCATGTTTAAGTTTTATCTTATTCATGCTCCTCTTTAACAAAGAAACAAGACAGAAAAAGCAAAAAGATGATTTCTTTTCTTTCTCTCGGTTTGCAGGTGCCCTCACCACCAATGGCATAAACCCCGACACCAGCAGTGAGATCGGACGTGCTAAGAACTGTCTGAGCCCCGAAGACATAATTGACAAATACAAAGAGGCCATTTCCTGTTACAGCAAGGTGACGGTGTTGTCGTGTGTGTCTCAGAACCGTGCTGTGATGGTGTTGTGTGTGTCCTCGTAACCGTGCTGTGACGGTGTTGTGCATGTCCTCGTAACCGTGCTGTGACGGTGTTGTGCATGTCCTTGTAACCGTGCTGTGACGGTGTTGTGCGTGTCCTCGTAACCGTGCTGTGACGGTGTTGCCGTGTGTGTCTCGTAACCGTGCTATGATGGTGTTGTGCGTGTCCTCGTAACTGTGCTGTGACGGTATCGTCATGCGTGTCCTCGTAACCGTGCTGTGACGGTGTTGCCGTGCGTGTCCTCGTAACCGTGCTGTGACGGTGTTGAAAAAAAAGCAGTGGCCACCTACTGTCACTAGGAGCTTTTTGAAGATAAGCTATCAGCTCTGCTCTTCCTGACTTCTTTTTAACGCTAGCAAAGATCGTTTTTTCACCACTGATGTCCTTGGGATTCCCAAACCCTCCCTCAGTGTATCCCCACCCCAGGTGAGGCCTTTGTTCTTGGCATCTGTGGGAGAGAATCCAGGGACCTGACCTGTCTTCCGCCCAAACAGACCATGGAGGCTTGGGCCAGGCCGGTGCTTGCCTCCCCTTCCACGGTGTGGCCCTGGGCACACTTCCGAACAAACATCTTGCCTTTCTCAACATCGCCCATTTTAATTCTCTCTGTTGTCGCTTGGGAATATAGAGTTCCTGCTCAGAAGCCAGATGACCCACTAAGTCCAAGGACATGTCGATCTGCCGAGAATTTTTTTTTTTAGGAGAGATTTTTGCTATAGGATGCGTGTGCTTGCCGGAGAGAGAGAGACAGACAGAAGCAAGAAATCATACCTCCCCTCCAGGGGGATGGCTACGCTGCAGTCCCCTCTCTTCCAGTCTCCTCTTGGGATTTTGGGCATGCATAGGAAGTTTTAAGCCGCTGGGTCTGGGACTTGAACCGTGGTCGACTTCGTGGGAATCCAGTGACGTAACCATTCCGCTAGCTGCTGGTCCCCGAAAGTGAGATCTTGCTCTATGTTATTTTGCTTCTTGCTTTATTCACTCAGCCATAGTTCCTAGATGCCCGCCCAACTCAGACCGGCCTGAGTCTTTCAAGAGTGAGAAAGGTGTTCTGAAGTAGGACGTGCGAGACTGTCCTCAGCAGCACCGTAAACAGGACAAAGCGCCTGCCTTCAGGGTTCACAGCTTGCTGTACTCCTCTTAATCATTCTCTTGCTAATGGATACTTAATGTTTCTCACTTTTTCGCTATTAGAAAAAAAATGTTTCAGGACCAGCAGTTGGTGTAATGGCTATGTCGCTGGACTCCCATGTAATCGACCGCAGTTCGGGTCCTGGACCTAGTGGCTTAAAGTCACACCAGGCGCGTGTGCATGTATGCGCAAGATCTGGAGATGAGAATGGAGAAGGGATTGCAGCAAGGCATCCCCTCTGGGGGTGATTTCTTGCATTCTGTCTCTCTCTCTCTCTCTGCCTTTCTACAGCAAAAACTTCTCTGAAAATAAAAAAGTTTCACTAAAGGTCCCCCCAACTCCCCCCCCGTTTGTTATAGGGTCAGTGAGCTTGCAGGGGGAGGGAGGGAGAAAAGAGAAAGTGAGAAGTCACCCCAGGAGGTTGGCCATGCCTCTCAGTCCCTTCCCCTTTATCCTTCTCTCTGGGTTTTGTGTGTGCATGCGCAGGCACCTGGCGTGTTTTTCAAGCTGCCAGGTTCAGGACTCAAACCACAGTCAGCCATGTGGGATCCAGCCTCCTTAACCACTGTGCACCTGCTGGCCCTTCCTGAAGGTTCTTGGACATATGTTCTTGTGTTGAATATTCCTATAGACTAGACTTCTAGAAATTTAGTTGTAGGCTGTGACATTTACATTTATCATAGGCTGTTTTCAAAGTTACTCTTCACATTCCATTTCCAGTAGAAAAATGAAGCGGTGTAGAAGTATTTAGCCAGCCCTCTGTTCTTGAGTGTTACTGAGCTTTGCTTTTTCTTCCCACTGCTACAAGCAGTGCTCTTAGAGCTACGTTTTTATGAGCTGATTTTTTTTTTAAAGATACATCTCTAGACATACAGTAGAATCAAGTATATGTATTTTTTTTTTTGAGAGGTTTTTGCTATAGGGTACATGCACTCACCAGAAAGAGAGAGACAGAGAGACAGAAAGTGAGAAATCACTCCCCACCCCCAGGGGATGGCCACGCTGCAGTCCCTTCTCTTCCATTCTCCTCTCGGGATCTTGGGCACGCACACACAAGTGCCCGGTGTGAGTTTAACCCACCGGGTCTGGGACTTAAACAGCACTCGACTATGTGGGAGTCCAGCGACATAGCCATTACGCCAACTGCTGGTCCCAAATCAAGTATATGTGTATTTTTAGAATTGTATATTCATATATTGTGCTCTAAAAAGGTTGTTAACAGTGTCCTGTTTCAGAAACAAATCCTAGCTATTATCCTTTTGAAATATTTGCTGGGCCCAGCAGGTGGCGTGATGGTTAAGGTGCTAGACACTCCCTCATGGCTGACCACGGTTCAAATCCCGGACCTGCTGGCTTGCTTTCTCACTTTCCCTGTCTCTCTCTTTCTCTCTCTCTGTGTTTGTGTCTCACTCTGGTCAAATTAAAATGAATGAATGAATGAATAAATAATTCTTAAGAAAAAAACAAATATTTGTCAAAATGAAGGATTTCCAAAGAGTTTACAGAAATTTATTATGGGGGCCGACTGTGCCACAGTGGTTTAGGAGGCTGGATCCACATGACTGATGTGCGGTTTGAGTCCTGAATCCAGCAGCTTAAAAACGTGGCACATGAACACGTGTGCCCAAAATCCCTGGAAGAGGGAGAGGTGGAAGAATAGGAGTTGGGGTGTGGCCATGCCCCATTGCGGGGTGCTTTCTAACTCTCTTTCTCTCTCTCTCCCTTTCCAGTGAGTGTACATGCCCTCTGGGAAATTAAAAAAAAAGAAGAAAGAAAATGTGTATTATTAAAAAGCTATGCATGGATTTCAAAATTATTTTTTACCAAAATAAACTTGTACTTTAATTTTATTCTCGCAATGTTTTGAAGTCTCTGGTTGACGGGCAGAAGTAATCTCTCACTGTCCCCGCCCGCGAGCACGTGAGCGCGGTTAGGTCCTCGCGTTCCACTCATCAGCGCTGCCCCTGCGGGTACCCGTCTGTGTGGGAGGCCGCATGGGGCCGGGCTTCTCCTGCCGCTTGTGATGCTCTTTGCATGTCATGAATGTCAGCGTCTCGTCTAGCATGGATATTGAAAGTCGTTTTTCTTAATGTTGTATGTTTTTTACTATTTTTAGGATTTTTATTTTGGATATGGTCAGAAATATCTTTTTAATGTGGTAGACCCTCTCTGAAGGGTTTTGCCATCAGTATTATGTTTTGTTTTGTTCATGTTAGACTTTCTTTTCCACGGGGCTTGTGCACTCACTGGAGAGAGACAGAGAGAGGGAAGATGAGAAATCACCCCAGGGGGACAGCCATGCCACAGTCTTCTCTTCTGTTCTCTTTTTGGGATTTTGGGCATGCACACACATATACCTGGCATGTTTTTCAGGCTGCTGGGTCTGGGACTCAAACTATGAAGTTGGCCATATGGGATCCAATGCCTTAACCACCGTGCCATCTACTGGCCTAGTATTATGCTTTTGAAATACCTTCTTGGCAGTAGAAGAAGACTCTGCCCAGGGTTTTGTCTCTAAAATGAGGATGGCAGTGCTTACTATCTCCTAGAGCTGTAGTTGGGGCAAGCCGAGGTCACATGTGCAAAGTTCACATGGATTGCTTATCGTTGGGTTCTTTTTTTTTTTTTTTAGAGGGTTTTGCTATAGGGTGCGTGTGCTCGCCAGACAGACAGAGACAGAGAGATAGAAAGCAAGAAATCACCCCCGGGGGGGGGACCACGCCGCAATCCCGTCTCCTCCATTCTCCTCTCGGGATCTTGGGCACGCATGCACACACGCCCGGCGTGAGTTTAAGCCACTGGGTCTGGGATGCGAACTGCGGTCGACTACATGGGAGTCCAGCGACATAGCCATTACGCTAACTGCTGGTCCCTCGTTGGGTTCTTAATGTTTATATTACGATGTGTGGTTTATTCTGTATGCACTATGACCTACGAATACAATTTTTCCCCAGGCGATTATTTAGTTGACCCACCACAAATAATTGAGTCCTATTTTTTCTCTTTGAGTTACAGAATTACCTATACACATATACTTGACGTATTTCTGAGCTTCTTATATTTTTCCATAAATCTATTTTTTCTTACTCTAGCACACTGATAGTTTTTAAAAAGAATTATTTTTCATTTTATTTATCATTATTATTGTTTTGTAACTTGCTGCAGGGCATGCATGAGAGAAAGAGCGAGCGAGTGGGTGAGCCGCCAGGTCTGGGACTCCAACTATGGTTGGCCATGTGGCCAGCGTCTTAACCATGTCACCTGTTGACTCCAACACCTTGATATTTTATGTATTATAGTTTATTTAGTCTCTAATAGTGTTTTTTTTTAAATTTTTTAAAAATTTGCCTTAGCGTGCACGCACTCACTAGAGAGAGACAGAGAGCGCAAGCGGGAAATGCTCCCCGTGGACGATGGTTATGGTTTAGTCCCTTCTCCATTTCTTCCTCGTTTGCCAGGATTTTGTGTACACACACATTGCCTTGCATTTCTTTTTTAAGGTTTTTACCATAGGACATGTGTGCTTGCTGGAGAGAGAGAGAGAGACAGTGAGAGGGAAGGTGAGAAATCAACCCTAGAGGGATGGCCACACTGCAGTCCCTTCTCCTCCATTCTCCTCCTAGGATTTTGGGTATGCATGCACACGTGCCTGGCATGATTTTCCAGCCTCCAGGTCCAGGACTCTAGCTGTGATCGGCCATGCGGGAGTCCAGTTCCTTAACCACTGTACCACCTGCTGGCCTCACCTCACCCTGTGTATTGTTTACGCTCCTGGGTCTGAGACTCACATGTGCACTTGGCCTTGTGAGATCCTGAGCCTTAACTACCATGTCACTGGCTGGCCCAAGTCTTCTTAAGAAAATTCTTTCCTCCCACCCTGAAGTCTCTGTGTTTCGTCAGACATGTCGTGAGTGCATCGTACCATCTGCCTAAATTTTTTTTCTTAGGGCGTGTGTGCTTGCTGGAGGAGAGAGAGATAGAGACGGTGAGAAGGAGAGAGAGAACTCACCCCCCAGGGCGATAGCCATGGCATAATCCCTTCTCCTCCAGTCCCCTCCTGGGAATCTTGGGCATGCATGCTCATGTACTTGCGTGAGTTCAAGCCACTGGGTCTGGGACTTACGGTGGTTGGCCATGTGGGAGTCCAGCAACATAACTGCCACGCCATCTGCTGGCTCTCAAATTGCTATTAAGTGGATCATCTATGATAAGTTGTACCGTGTCACTGGTTATGTGCATATACAGGTGTGGAAACGGGAAAAATGACGTACCCTTTCTTGTCCCACCTTATGCCTGATTTTAGCAAGAGAGCTGGCCTGCTGTAGTTTTGCTCCTTGGTGACTGGTGGGAGTCCAGACTGCACAGGTGCACAGTGGTGACCGCTGGGTGTGCAGACTGCCCGGGTGCACAGTGGACCACTGGAGAGTCCAGCAACATAACTGCCACGCCATCTGCTGGCTCTCAAATTGCTATTAAGTGGATCATCTATGATAAGTTGTACCGTGTCACTGGTTATGTGCATATACAGGTGTGGAAACGGGAAAAATGACGTACCCTTTCTTGTCCCACCTTATGCCTGATTTTAGCAAGAGAGCTGGCCTGCTGTAGTTTTGCTCCTTGGTGACTGGTGAATGCACAGACTGCACAGGTGCACAGTGGTGACCGCTGGGTGTGCAGACTGCCCGGGTGCACAGTGGACTGCACAGGTGCACAGTGGTGACCATTGTGTGCATGGTGGTGATCATTGGGTGTGGAGACTGCACGGGTGCACAGTGGACCACACAGGTGCACAGTAATGACTGTTGGGTGAATAGTGGTGACCTTTACCGTTGGGTGTGTGGTCTGCACATGTGCACAGTGGTGCCTATTGGTTGTGTGATCTGCATGAGTGCACGGTGGTGACTGTTGGGTGTGTGGTCCGCACGGGTGCACAGTGGTGCCTATTGGGTGTGTGGTCTGCTTGAGTGCATGGTGGTGACCATTGAGTGTGTGGTCCACACAGGTGCACGGTGGTGACTGTTGGGTGTGTGGTCCGCACGGGTGCACGGTGGTGACTGTTGGGTGGGTAGACTGCATGAGTGCATGGTGGTGACCATTGGGTGCACAGTGGACCCTCAGATGCACAGTGGTGACTGGTGGGTGTGCACACCGCATAAATGCACAGCTGGGAGTGTAGGGCATGATGGGTCTCAGGGAGGGCTGTGGTTAGATATGTTGGCTTTCCCAAGTTGCAAAGCCTCAGTGACAGGGCGGGGGGGTGTGGTCCTCAGTGACAGGGCGTGGCTGTGTGGGCCTCAGTGACAGGGCGTGGCTGTGTGGGCCTCAGTGACAGGGCGTGGCTGTGTGGGCCTCAGTGACAGGGCGTGGCTGTGTGGGCCTCAGTGACAGGGCGTGGCTGTGTGGGCCTCAGTGACAGGGCGTGGCTGTGTGGGCCTCAGTGACAGGGCGTGGCTGTGTGGGCCTCAGTGACAGGGCGTGGCTGTGTGGGCCTCAGTGACAGGGCGTGGCTGTGTGGGCCTCAGTGACAGGGCGTGGCTGTGTGGGCCTCAGTGACAGGGCGTGGCTGTGTGGGCCTCAGTGACAGGGCGTGGCTGTGTGGGCCTCAGTGACAGGGCGTGGCTGTGTGGGCCTCAGTGACAGGGCGTGGCTGTGTGGGCCTCAGTGACAGGGCGTGGCTGTGTGGGCCTCAGTGACAGGGCGTGGCTGTGTGGGCCTCAGTGACAGGGCGTGGCTGTGTGGGCCTCAGTGACAGGGCGTGGCTGTGTGGGCCTCAGTGACAGGGCGTGGCTGTGTGGGCCTCAGTGACAGGGCGTGGCTGTGTGGGCCTCAGTGACAGGGCGTGGCTGTGTGGGCCTCAGTGACAGGGCGTGGCTGTGTGGGCCTCAGTGACAGGGCGTGGCTGTGTGGGCCTCAGTGACAGGGCGTGGCTGTGTGGTCCTTGGCAGCTTTGGGCTCTCTCAGGTACCAGTACCCTTGTGCTTAACCTCTATTAACCTTTTCTGCAATTGTAAGTTCTATTTATTTATTTTAAGAGATGTTATTTGGGACCAGCAGGTGGCATGATGGTTAGGGTGCTGGACTCCTACATGGCCAACTGCATTTTGAGTCCTGGACCTGGTGGCTTGCTTTCTCATTTTCCCTCTCCCTCTATGGTCACATTAAAAAATTAAAAAAAAAAAAAAAAGAAAAAGAAAAAGAAAGTTATTTAAAAATCACTCTGGCTTGGGATAATTAGAAAAATGAAATCAGAAAGGGCTTGGGGCAGACAAGAAAGCAGGCAGGCAGAGGACGATTCTGCAGGGGGCGGCTTGAGAGGGAGTGGGAGCGGCTTCAGGGAGCGAGGGAGCCCGGCCCGGCCCCTCCCCGAGTGCTGCGGCTTGAGCCAGAGCCATGGAGATCTCGGGGCTGAGCTGCCCACCGGCCAGCCTCACCTGGGCAGAGGCTTAGACCTGGGGTGAGCTTTGAGAACTGCTCAGCCACCCGCTGAGAGCCACAGCACTGAAGAGAAGTCCAGCAGAGCCTTGTGTCCCTGATGTCCTCAGTGGGTCTTTGTCTCAGCTGTCAGGACAGAGCCTGAGACGAGGAAGAAACTCTGAGACCAGAACCATGTCAGGTTTAGGTAGGACACACACACCCATCCAGGGGGTGGGACTTTTTGCACCACAGTGGAAAGAATTTCCAGCCACTGCGTGAAAGCAGGTGGCAGGTGACAGTCTACAGTGTGTTACGGAGCAGGGGATGATGAGCGGAAGTGAAGAGCAAAGCGTCCCTTGGTGACATTTGGAATCTGTTAGCTCTCAAGTTTCTATGGCTGTGTTATCTTAATGACTGCAGACACATGACACATTCCTGCGACATTCACAGGTTCACTTTGTCCCAGGAAAGGGAGGCTTCCTTAAAAACACCCCCCATTGCGGCCAGCAAGTGGTGTGGTTGTTAAGGCACTGGACTCCCACTTGTCTGATTGTGGCTTGAGTCCTGGACCTGGTGCTTGAAAATCACTCTGGGCATGTGTGCGTGCATGCCCCAAATCCCGAGAGGAGAGCGGCGGAGATGGGATTGCAGCATGGCCATCCATCCTGGGGGTGATTTCTCACTTTCCCTCTCTCTGTCTCTGTCTGTGTCTCTTGTCTGGTGAGTGCACACACCCTATGGTGAAAACCTAAAAGAAATAAAGAAACAAACAAACAAAACGCCCTCCTCGCTTGGTGTGGGCCGGGTCAGGAGCCGTGTGCCTGGGAAACGGTGTTGCAGGGTTGTGGAGAGTCTGTGGCGCCTGCGTAAGTGACGGGTGTGTGTTCCGGCATCTCTCACTGACGCCCTTCTTTCCCCCCGCAGTACAAGAACGCTGGCGTGATCGAGCTCGAAGCCTGTGTCAAAGCCGTGCGTGTCCTCGCCATTCAGAAGCGCAGCATGGAGGCTTCAGAGTTTCTCCAGAATGCGGTGTACATTAACCTTCGCCAGGTGAGTGAGCGTGTGCGCCTGGGGGAGGGCGAGTCTGTGCAGGCCTCGAGGAGTGCACCTCCTGACTCCGCTCCGTGGGCCAGGACGCTATGGCACGGGAAGAGCTGCGGGGACACCTGCGTCTCGGTGCCCGGTTGATGTCGGTTAGGGTGATACTTGTGGTTTGACCTCTGTGTTCTGTGGAGAGGTGGCTTTGTCTCTTCCCTGCTTTGCCGCCTTGAGCGGGCGTCCAGCCCTGCCCTGTGTTGTCACGTGGGCGGAGCTTGCTGCCGTGACCGTCTTTGTGGTGGGGTGTGTGAAACAGCTGTGCACGTGCTTCGTGGAGCCCCTGTGCACAGGGGACCGGCAGTAGTTAAACCTGAGTCTGGACGGGCTTTAATCCAGCTGTTAGGACATGTCGGTGTAGGTTGACAGGACAAATCCCAGATTGATAGCTGCAGAAGAATGTCAGACTTTCGGCTGGTCTGACCAGGATCTTCGCAGATGTGGAAGCGGAGTCCCCAGAGGTGAGCAGCTCGCGTGGGACTCAGGCCAGGCTGAGCTCCCACCGCAAGGGCACTACTGGGGTGGGAGGAGACGGAGCAGGTGGGGCCTGACCTCACTGAGCTGTCAGCGTCGGGGAGACACCCACCCCGACGCTGGGGTAAGCGAGAAAAGGCAGGAGGCTCAGGTGCCCAGGGAGCAGCCCCAGGAGAGTCAGCCTGGCTTGGTGAAGTAGCACGTGGGGCCGGGGCCGTGTCTAAGACCAGCGAGGTTGAAGCTGGGTCTCGAAGAGTGAGCAGGAGACAGCCAGGTGGAGAGGACGCAGGGAAGAACATTCTAGGAAGGGGCCTCCTCGCCCGAGTGATGTGAAACAGAGGAAACCACAACGGGCTGAGCACGGAGACGCGGACGGGGACGGGGACGGGGACAGGACGGGACGGGAGCACCCTGAGCCGGAGGCCTCTCTCGGTCAGGCGAAGAATTTGGAGTTTATTCTGAGAGTGGTGGATTTCCCCCCTTTCTCGTGTGCCTGAGAGAAAGAGAGAAAGCTGCCTCAGCAGGGTCTCGTCACACCGCCACCCTCCCCCGAGGCCCCAGCTCCTCAGGGTCCTGAATGCTCCCCTGCACCCCGCTGTGTTTCAGGCCAGCCCAGGACCTAAGCCGCAGTCGCCACGCGGCTTCCCTGGATTGCAGGGCACTGTGCTACTCACACCGCAGCGGCCAGGCCTGAGAGCAGTGGGTTTAAAAGAACGGCCCTGTGAGCAGCGAAGGACGTTGGGTTTGTGTGGGTTGGGGGCGTGGCGGGGAGTCCAGGTGAGCGCTGTTGGCGGACCCCAGGGGCTGGGCTGCTGTGGACAGGCTTCGGTGGGACAGGACCGGTGTTAGTGACTGCCCGTGTGAGAGAGTGGCAGAGTGGCGGAGCGGTGGCTGGGGTTTGCCTGCTCTCTGGGGCTCAGTGGCCAGGCCGGGCTCTGAGTAGGGCAAGTGGCAGTGGGGGTTGGGGTGGGATGAGAGGTGCAGTTCTGGGGCCGGCAGGGGTGTACCTGGGTCTGGGCTCAGGTGGGTCGGAGGGAGGGCAACTTGAAATCCTTTTTCGTTTTCAAGGCATAAAGAGGTACAGCTAATGATAATGTGCTCACACCTCTATCATTCACCAATGGTAAACAATTGCAGGAACGCTTAATTTTTTTGATAGGAAAATGCCTTACGGAGAGACACCGTGGCGGCATTAACCCCCGTCTCCGCCTTGGCCAGCACCTCTCCTCCCACGTCTTGATGCCCTGTATGTTTATAGCCAGAGTCTGCAGAAGAGAAACTGCCGAGCGCGCGGTGTCTGGGTACAGACTGCCGGGGTTCGCACCTGCCTTCCCACTGTCCGTGCCCCCACTGCCCTCCCCGCCCCGCAGCCCATCACTG